ACGCAAGGGGGACCCCATTAGATGGGGGGGGCGCTGAGGTGGGGGAGTACACCCCCCCCGCTGACGTAGGGGATCCCCCGGATGACGTAAGGGGGGCCCCCATTTCACGGCGGAGTGCGGGAGACCCCCTGGGTGATGTAATGGGGGGAGACACCCCCCCCGGGTGATGTAACGGGGGTCCGCGGGGGTGGGGGAGAGCCCCTGCACCGCGGGGGGACCCTTGGGTGGCGGAAGGGGAACCCCACTGCCTGGGGGGGCAGCTGGAGGGGACCCCCTGGGTGACGCCAGGGACCCCCTGGGTGACGGAGGGGGAGAGCCCGGGGGGGGGGTTGGGGGCGGTGGCGCCCCCTCGGCAGGCGGGGGGGGGACGACACCCCCAGGTGGGACCCCCTTGCATTAGGGGGAGCTGGATCAGGGGGACCCCCCACCCCCCCAGGGCATAGCGTCGGGGGCGGCTGAGGGGGTTGAGACCCCCCAAAAGACCCAGGCGGGGGGGAGTGGGGTGGGGGGCACCCATGGGGGGGGCTCCTGCAGCCTAATGGCCCCCATTCCAGCCGGAGGGGGGCTGGGGGGACCCCAACAGGGGAAGGGGCCGGAGCGGGAGCTCGTTAAACCCCCCGGGCTTCGTCAGAGCGGGGGCGATGTCACCCGGCCGCGGCCAGACATCGGCCCCCTCGCATGGGAGAGCGGGTGCCCCAACGCCGCCGCGCCTTTGCCCCCCAAAACCGTGAAAGGCTGCGCGGCGGGGGGGTGCAGGCATCGGGTCTGGTTGATTTTGGTTTCGGTTTAAGAATTTGCGAGTTTGAGCACTGGCTACGACCCAGAATGATTTGGTTTATTATTGTTGTTTTTTCCTTTGCCGGGCTTCCTGCCTTCTCATTGCTCCCAGTTCCGGCAAACGATATTTTAACTCTCGCTTTTCTTTTTGCCGTGGACCGAAGTGCCGAAGTCGGCGGGCGTCTGCGCCCGGGGGGGGGGGCGGCGCACCCGCGCGGGGCCGAGGCCGGCGGGCGTCTGCGCTCGGGGGGGGGGGTCGATCACCCACGCGTTCATCGTGCGTGGACGCTCCAAGAGCTGATACTCCCTTCTGCTCACGTGACAATTAAGAAATGGGGCTTTCCGAAAAGAAAAAAAAAAAGGCGACTCGTCAGCGGCTCCGTTCCTGCCTCGGCCTGACTTCTCCTCTTTCCCGCAGGACAATATCCCACCCAGCCCTCCTACCCCGTCCAGTCCCCGGCCAACCCCGCCGTCTACCCACAGACTATGCCCCTTCCGCAGCCGCCGCCCTACACGGACGCACCTCCTGCTTATTCCGAGGTAGGCGGGATCCTTCTCCGAAGGTTTTCTTTTCTTCTGGGGCCCCTCCCAAAGGAAAAAAAAACAAACCAACTTTATAGCTACCATAATTTTTTTTTTTTGGCCTGGAGGACTCGTTTGCTGCTCGTACCGCTGGGCAGTGGTCAGGCCCCAGGTTCTCTTGGACGAGATCTGAATCATCCACTCAAAGTGACAAACGTTCAAAGCTTGAGTTAAGGTGACAAATTTAGCTCACCTGTAGCTCTAAACATAATAATAATAATAATAATAATAATAATAATAATAATAATAATAATATAATCTCCCTTAGTTGGATTCTTGCAGGCAGCGGGGGAAAACTGTCTCCAACAGCGGGAAAAATCCTTTTACCGTACCCGACAGGAAACGCTCAGGGAAGGGGATTCCCTTCTGAGAGCAGGAGGGTGAAAGTCGACGTCGGGGCTCGTGCTCTGACGGCAAGGCTGAATAAGCAGCTGGCTGTGGGGAATAACAAGTCTCTCAACTTGCTGGCACGGCTTTTTTGTTTATTTTTTTCCTCAGCTTTACCGTCCCAGCTTCGTGCCTCTGGGGGCTGCCACCGTACCTACAATGTCTGCGGCGTATCCCGGCGCCTCCGTCTTCCTGCCCATGGCCCAGTCTGTGGCCGTGGGTCCGATCGGCTCCTCGGTCCCGATGGCGTATTACCCCGTGGGACCGGTTTATCCTCCGGGCTCGACAGTCCTCGTTGAAAGTGGCTTTGATGCCGGAGCAAGGTTTGGGGCTGGTGGAACAGCCAGCATCCCTGTAAGTATAAATGTGGCCTCAAAACCCTGTGTGCTTCAGCGTTAGAGGTTCGCAGACGGCAGTGGGGGAGAAGATGTCCTTTGTTTTCTGAGAAAAACATATTTTTTACCCGATCCATCGTTTGGGAGAAGAGTAGGCTCCTACTTTCATGCTGAGGGTTTGCTCTCTCTGGTCAAGCTGTGGTTCTGGAGCCACGTAGGCTCGCAGGTGGTTCCGGCTCACAGCAAAATGGCCAGCGCTAGCCCCGATTCAGCCTGGGGGCCACAGTGCAATGTGCTTTGCGGGGAGGCAAGCCAGTAGGGCTGCTTGATGACCTGACTTTCCCTGGCCCCAAACACAGACTTGGCCTCTTTCCATGCTACGGTGGAGCTGTGAGAGGTTCCTGCTCCCCTGGACTTTCCACCCGTGGCTCACGGCCACGTGAAGATCTTGTTCCCCAGCTCCCAGGCTCCTCTGCCTGGGCAAAAAGCCAGGGTCAGCCGTATGCGCCGCGGGCTCCGAAAAGAGAGGGCAGGGCACGGACGAGGAACCGAGCGTTTCCCATCAGCTCCTGGACTCTGTTGCTCAATCTTTGCTCGGTCGCGAGTGACGGGGCCATCGCCTGGGAGGTTTCTGGGTCCCTGCAGCCCACGGTGGCTTTGTGCCAGCTCCCGTCGCAGCCCTGCCCTCAGCTTTCCTCCCGCCTCTCCTTTCTCTCTCTTCCAGCCCCCCCCTCCTGGCTGTCCCCCCAACGCTGCCCAGCTGGCTGTCATGCAGGGAGCCAACGTCTTGGTGACGCAACGGAAGGGAAACTTCTTCCTGGGAGGCTCAGACGGCGGCTACACTATCTGGTGAAGAAGGAAGGGGAAGGGGGGAGAGGGGGGGCTACATTTGTGTAAGGAAAGACATCACATATCGTCAGCACTTCTCACGATGTAACTGCTTTAGTCCATATTAACCTGAAGATGCAGATTAGGCACACAGCGGTGAGGTGTCTTCCTGGTTTGGTGCCCGGCCCCGCAGGCACTTTCAAGCGAAAGAAGAAACCCTGTTAACGATAGCGGTGCCTCTGTTCAAACGGGGAGGGGGGGATTCGTTCGCGAAACGAATGTGAGCTCAGCAGCCCTGCCTCTTCCCTTCATTTCACTGGAGTAACACCGCAGCGCTGAGCTTTTATTCATCGGCTCCCTGTACGCTGGCTTCAGGGAGGGCGAGGGTGCGGATCCGGTTTCGCCTTCCCTTCAGGGTCGTGCCGGTCCGCTGGACCCAGAGCCCCAAACCACCCAGGTTTCCCCAGCGGAGGTGCTGGGGAGAAGGCGAGGCAAACTTCACTTCCCAGGAGCGGGGAGGGCACCTTGGCGCTTCTTTCTTCCTGACCTCACTCTAGAACGGATCCCTCGAAGCACTCCGTGCTCACATTCGCCTGTCATTTTCCTCCCGGAAGGTATGCAGCTGGCGCGTATCATGGGATTTTTTTCTTTTTTTATACACTCCAAGTAATCTTGGATTTCTTTGCACATTAGATCTAATCAAAGCCATGCTTTGGTGCCAGAAACACAATGCAACTCATGTTTGAACATTTCATTCGATGCTAACTAGGCTTTTAGAACGATGCTTAATAAACAAACGTCTTTTTTGGGGGTTTTTTGGTTTTTTTTTTTAAACTCAACCTGGTGTCTTGACGCCAAAACTCCTTAAGGCTGTTGTTCAGAGAGGCTGGTTACCATCCGTCCGAGGCTGTGTAGCAACTCTCCATCGACACGCAAATGAGCTTGGTTAATGGGTTGTTTTCCGAATGCGTACTTTCAAAATGACTTGGGTATAATGAAGTCTTATTAGGGTTAAGAAGAATATTTCAGGGATCCTCAGTGTTTTGGGTTTTGTTTGTTTTGTTTTATGAAGAAAAAGATCAGATTCAAATATATTTTATCTTGAGGTTTCAGTTTAATCTAAATCTGTGTCTTGTATATGTTGTGTTTAACCATACGACTGACTGTTACGAAAGTTCAGCATTACGTCTCTCTCTGTATACACTGTGGTGCACTTAACTTGTGGATTTTTTTATACTAAAAAAAAGTAGAATAAAGACTATTTTGAAAATTTGAATCAAGTAGCAAATTTGCATTAGACCTCAAATAAAACCCCTTGGCTCCTGCCCATCGCAAGCCTTAGGGTTTCTTCACTTATTTCCTCTTCGCTGCTATTTTGTGAACTTCCTCGTTTGGGGGTTTTGTTTGGGGTTTGATTTAAAGGAGGGACTGCCCTCGAGACGGGCGCAGAGGAGGGGACGGCTGGAGCTGCTCCTCGCCCCGTCCTGCGTAGCAAAAGCAGGGGAAAAGCGGCCTCTCTGCCTGCCCGAGCCTACGTGCCGGCGCGAAAGCCGGCTCTGCAGCCGAAGCAAACCTGCTCCGCTTCGGATTTCCCGCAGCCCTCGCGCCTCTTGGGGCAGGGACGCGCTTCCCCCCGTTTCCAGCCTGCAGCGGGGCTTTCTGTAGCTCGCACCATCCGTCAGCCATTACGTGCGCGCTTAACCTTAGCCTCCAAATCAGCCGTGCTAATTACCCCACCCCTAAAGCAGCAGAACTTAATTGTTTTGTGAGAGAAGGAAAAAGAAAACGACAGCGACTCTTCAAGCATGCGTCACTGGGCTGTATTAGAAAGCACCGAAGGGAGGAGATGGGGTGGGTGCGGGCAGCCGGAGCGCGGCCGTGCCTGCTCTCCTCCGAGCTGAAGTAACCCCTGCCCTGGGTCTGCTCCGGGCAGCGATGGGCAAAGCTCTGCCACACCCCTATTTATTTTTCCTTCCATAGTTGGCTTAATAAATTAAGGGGAAAAAAAAAAAAAAAGCAGCTTGGAGGTCCCCAATTCCAGGGAATTCGGGCAACCTGAGTGCGTCAGAGAGGTTGCGCTGGACCCGGGGCTTAGATAAAATACTCTTCTTTCTCTTTGGATGGAGCGTCCTCCATCTGCACCGACACGTCGGCCTCTGCCGCCGGCTGCTCGTAGGTGAGGTAGCTGCCTTTGTTTCTGTACAGGTAGATGATGATCACCACCAGGACCGTCAGCAGGGTGAGGAAGACCAGGGTGATGACCACTGCCGGCGAGAAGGCAGAGAGAGGAGCGGGGTTTAGCCCCGAGCGGTCGGTACCGAGCTGTACGTGGGGTGGATCCGGCAAGGAGAGCCCCTACCTGCGATGACCACGGTGTTGGCGTCCTCATGGAGAGGTGGGGTGTGAGCCTTCTTCAGGAGAGGGGTGGTCAGCTCTTCTTCATCAACCCAGAGGAGGGAGAGAGGAGAAGGTGAGGCGGGCTGGTCCTGACCTGGCTGAGCCAGGCTTAGCTGGACGAGGCATGCGGTGGCCCCGTGCAAGGTCTTGCCGAGGATTATACGGCACGAACAGCCCGGCAAAGCTGTCCTGGGACGCTCACCTGCAGTCAGAGCGGGCTGATCTTCCATCGCATCGGCTCCTTCCAGGCCAAGGTCCGGGGTCCTTCAGAACTACCAAAAAAAAGGGATAAAAGTGAGAAATTCACATGCAACACCCCAAAGGGCACAGCCGCGAGGGGGGATGCCGGCGGCGACGCAGCACTAATCAAAGCGAAGGTTTTATTCGGGCTGATGGAGAGGAGCCGGGCTCGTGGGGAAGGCGACGAAGCTAGCGAAGGCAGGGAACAACCAGCCACCGACTCTGCAATTCCCTCTCAAACTTTGAGAGCTTCAAATTGCCCGTAAATCCTTGCGAGTGCTCCCATCAGGGTCCCGAGGTTGATGCCGCAGCCGTAACGTTTCGCCTGCAAAAAGCAGCCGGACCGGCAGCCGCTCAACCGACCTCGGCGGCGTCGCCCGAGGTGGATG